TTCAATCGGCCTCGTCGTTGCACATCACTCTATTGAAGTTACACACACTGATGCCAAGTCATAGTGGAAAGCGCTGTGACCAGTCTGGGGCATTGAATTGAAAATCATTTGTCGAATTCAGCAATTTTACGGGCTTGTCATTATGTTGCAACATATGTCCACATGTCATTGGGATCTCAATATCAATGCGGAGTTCTGAATCTTACGTTGTTTTCCTGCAGTGTTTTATGCTGTTTAGACTTCTCGAGTCCTGAACTTGGAAACTTGTCGATCAAACCAAAGCTGAAGAGGGAATACAAAAAATTAATTGCGTAGGAAAAACTTCACGGAACTTGAACATCGATGTTGAGGCCGTGGGACCAGCATTTGTCGCTGTGATGCACACATGCTTCGTTATTGTAACAAAAAATTATATACGACGTAACATAGCACAGTTATTGGCTGGCAAGCGATTGTTGAAAGCATCTGGAAAAACAGTACTCGTGATAGGAAAAAAAATTGGGAATTCTCGCCTGCTCAATAATGCAAGCAAAGAGAGCATAAAACAAAGGAACCACCATACACATTGTCACCGGCACAAACACTAATAACGCGTCATAAGCTAAATTGTAAAAAAAATTATCGTTGAACATAAACAAGAGTGCTAATATTTGTGATTATCTGACGACAGGAATAAAATAGGAAATTAATCTATCTGCAAGCAAGGATATAGAATTCATAGTGGGGACAGTAAAGAGCATTAGTAAACTATAAAGGAGGAGAAAGTAAAATTTGCCAGCACTTCTATACATACCACCCAAACATAATGGCTTTAAAATATTAAATAAATAGGATGCTCAAAGCTTTATAACGTGATGGTAACGTAAAACAGCGTCAAGTAGTATTGTAGCTATAAATTGACAAAGGATTCGGCTAAAATGAGCACGTGTTTTCAGAGTGGAATGTTGAAAATAGTAACAACGTGACCCTTATGGTTTTTAAATCGGTATCCGAAGACTGCATCCGCTTCTGCAACGTACTCAATTTGCAGACGAGCATTCGAGCAAATAGACACAGCTATATGGGTCACACATAAAATTCCCTCTACTTCTCACAAAAAACCCATATATATATATATATATATATATATATATATATATATATATATATATATATATATATATATATATATATATATATATATATATATATATATATATATATATATATTATATATATATATATATATATATATATATATATATATATATCCGTATAGGGAAGAAGACGCACGTACGAAGTGAATTTATTGACGTTTCGGCCGCGGGTCCAAAACGTCAATAAATCACTTCGTACGTGCGTCTTCTTCCCTATACGGATAATCTTACCAGGACCCAGCATCCCTTTAGTTTTTGATTTATATATATATATATATAAACTTCGAGAATAGTGCAGTATAGGAAACAAAACAATAAAATATTTATTTAATCCTAACAATTTCGGCTGGTGGACCAGCCTTCTTCGGAGGATGTAAGTGAAATGATACAAGTTCCCGTAGCAGAGGGTCACCCTCACAGTTTAAAGACCCTCCAAAAAAAGAGAGAGAGAAAAAGACAAGCGGGCGAACGAGGTAGCAACAGACAACAAGAAGCAGAAGAAGGAGAGGAACTAGAAAGGAGCGACGGAGAGCCGCCGGAAACGAGCGGGTAATTCTGGCATTGTTGCTGCGTATAGGTAAGACGCGCCGCCAGCGGAGGCGACCAAGAAAAACGGAAAAATGTGGAACATGTTGCCGCTTACTCGCATCTCACACATGGATCGAGTTTAAGTTCACGTGGTTCGGCGGCTGGCCCGTGGCATCGGGCCACACACACACACACACACAAGAAGCATACGACCCGCTCCAGCTTTCGGAATATAATGGCCACGTTGGAAAGCTAATGTGCCCTCTCCCCCTCCCTCCACCTGCCCTCTCTTGCAGAAAAATGTACAACCAGTCATACTGAAAATAAATAAATGGGTATTCTTGTAAAGGATGAAAATATATAAAAATAAATAATACTAAAAAGTACTCAGAAATGAAAATAAAGTTTAATAATACTAACACAATCCGTTCGGTTTACGTAGCATCGAATTCGTTTAGTTTCGCTATATTGACTAACTTGCGTGTGCGACTTCACGTATGTATAAATAAATTAATTGAGTAATTCAATTTCTGTGTTTCGCGAAACGTCGCGGAGACACGTCAGTCGCCCAGGGCTCTCGTTGATTCCGTGGGTAAGTGATCTGAATTTCTTTATAAAGTATGACTCCTGCTGTTCGCGCTCCCGTGTGTTCTGGAAGCCGGATTGTAGGAGTATGACACTTACGCGTTCGAAAGAGTGACCAGGAAGATTGATATGTTTGGAGAACGGCAAATTGGGGAGGCCCTTTACGTGTGCCCTGTGGTTGTTGAAACGCAAACGGAACGCGGTTTCCGTGTGTCCAATATATTCCTGTTTGCACACCTCGCAGCGAATTTTGTATACCACATTGGCTGAGTCACAGTTAAGGTCGTCTTTAATTTTGTACACACATATATATATATATATATATATATATATATATATATATATATATATATATATATATATATATATATATATATATATATATATATATCATCAGCTTAGGGGACAAGGAAGGCAAAGTATACCAATATGAATTAGATAGTTAAAATCGTCGAGAAGTTTTACAGACATTTGTACAATAGCAGGGACAACAATGACCTTATTATAAGGACTCTGAGTAACACAGATGGTATTCCACCAGCAATTATAGGAGTCATAAAGCTACAGAGGGAATGCAAAGAGGCAAAGCTGCTGGTGAGGATTAGATAACATCAAATCTACTGAAAGATGGAAGACACATTGAGTTAGAAAAATTAGTTATTCTGTTTACTAAGTGTCTCCTGACAAGAAGAGTAACAGAATCTTGGAAGAATGCTAACATCATCGTAATACATAAGAAAGGAGATGAGAAGGACTTGAAGAAAACAGGCCGATCAGCTTGCTTTTCATCTTATACCAACTATTTATTAAGGTAATTGCTAACAAAATCAAGACATTAGAATTCAATTACCCAAAGATACAAGCAAGATTTAGAACAGGCTACTCAACAATCGACCGAATTCCTATGATCAACCAGGAACAAGAGAAATGCTCAGAAGAATGCCGCATTGTGGCCTTGTCGTACGATTTGTACTCTCATTCGATGCACTGATATTGTGAATCAGCTTCCTTCATATCATGCAGATTGTCCACAATCTGTAAGGTAACTGTTTGACTGGGAAAATAGAAAAGTCACAGAATATCCGCGGAGAAAAGGATGATGAGTGGGGCGGAGCGCTGAGGGGTTTCAGCACTAACACTAAACCCTCCGCGAATAACACCCACTACATCATCAAGGATGCGACAAACACTGTATATACTTATACAAAAAATTATTATTCGTAAGTGGTAGCCATACGTCGCTTCCATTCCCCCCTCATCGAAACGGCTTTATGGTTTAAGTGGTGGATTGGTGGTTAGACATAGTGGGATGTTTGCAAGGAGGAAGTAGTGGGCAGCTGGAAAAGGTGGAACAATAGGTGGTCACGTACACACATACAAGGGATGGACAGACCCCTGCCTTTAAGAGCTTCACCCCTAAAATGATGCAGAAAAAAACATTTCTTACGTTCCAATCAGTCGAACATTCACATAGACATAATTTGTTTTTTAGTGGTTATAATGTAAATACAAATAGCCAAATTCAATTGCGGTATGCAACATCACTATGAAACTGAAATGCAAAACGCACCACGTACATAGCTTTAGGTGTGCGTTCAGGAATTTGAGGTGGTCAAATTCGTCTGTTTAGCTTTCACTGCGGTGTGCCTCGTAATCAAATTTTATTGTTCGCATATGAAATGTCATAATCAAATGAAAAAAAATTGTGGTTATGGCGTTACAGCGCATAGCTCAAAATCACTCCCTGTCAAGATTGCTGCATTTTGATAGCCTCAGGTGAAATATGCCATATATGTTGTTCCTATGTTTATATACAGAAGAACCAGCTTTCGGTAGAACTAACTTCCGTCATGGGTTTAGCACGTATAGAGCTGCAGAATCATTACTTATTTTCTTAAGACCACGTAATGACCGGACTCGAATGTGCTGAATCAGTCGTGCATACTTAAATGAAGTACGTAGCTTCAGACTATGATCACGACCGACAGCCACTTTTCAGAAGGCGCCTACAAGTCAAAGCTTCTGTACAATTCGGTACCCCTTGGACAGCCCATACACGAACAAATGGGATTCAATCATGACTGCGTTGACCGCGTGAGCGTTCCGGTAATACCGGTGTCACACTCCCACTTTTGATAATTATCTAGTATGATCCGGTTCAAGTTTCGTAATCTTGATTGACTCCTTTACGTGAGCGTCCAAAGCCACAGTGAATCAAAGTTGAGAAATTCGATTCCGACGAGGCTTAATCGTGATCAGCAGTACAACGTGTGTCACGGGTATAGGGTTACGCAGACACTTCCAGGACACATGATCAGCTCTCTGCAAGCGCTGTTTTCTTCGAAGAAGAAGTATCAAGTGGCCGAACGCATTCAGGCGGAACGCTGGCTCCACATCTCAAATTAACGCGGACCTACGTCAACCGCAATAAGAATACACTGACTCACGCACTCGAGGAGGCCAAACGAAAAGCTGAAAAGTCGAAAGAGTAGAACGACAGCACTGATGAATAAAAGTAAAATGGCAAACACACAAAAGAACAGGAGGAAGAGGAGGGGGGAGTGGCTGATTCAGCTCGGACAGACGATGCGCTAAGAAAAGCAGAGAACCTTCGGGGCAGGCGATAGACATCGAATCGCAAACTGGTTCCAACGCTCGCTGGCGTTCAGCGCACGCGCAGTAGACCGTCACATGAGCGAACACTAGTCTCGACTTTTTTGTTTTTATTCTATTCTCGAGTTACTGCTTTTGCTTTTCCCCCCAGTATTTCTTGCCTGCGCGTCGTCCAACGGCCGATAATCGCCTTGTCGTTGTAGCGACGCCAGTCCGACGGCTCCCCTCATTTTAGGAGTGCTGGCCGTTGCCGCCACTGAAGGACGACGACGCGGGTTTAGAAACAGACGAGTCGCGATGGCTGACGGACGCTGGATTTTCGCTGTCCTGCTGGTGCTCGCTGCTTCAGCTGGCCTCACGTCGGCCGTATTCGACGTCGTGGAACACCAAAAATGCGGTGCGTACGCATAAACTAAACGTATATATCGGTGTAAGTACGCGAGTGTCGCGGTTTCCCGCTCTCAGAAGCTACAAGCAAGAGCCCTTTTAGCGTGAAGACGCACCCGATTATTAAACGCAGATGCCGACGCCCATTGACCGGCTTGATTGGTGCTCATTAACGTGAGAAAACGGCGTTCGGTGCTGTCGCGTTTCTTAGGGTCTCTTCACATTTGAAATTTGACCACTTACACACTCAGCTTCCGGCCAGCTTTCTCTTTCTTTCTCTTTTTTTTCGATTATGGGATAAGCGTGGATATTTGCCATTAATTGAGAGAGAAGGGAAGAAGAGGATGTCATCATTTAAATTAGTTTTGCAGGGTCAGCATGTTTTTCTGCTTGCGTTTTTGCTTCTGCATAGCAGTGGGCTTCCTGAAATAGTTCAGTGTTAACTTTTTGTTGATAACGAGCAATTGTCAAGGCTACCCGTAGCCGCTGAAACATTTCAGCGGGAAGTTTGCGTGTTTGCTCGAATGAACCTGCAATGATTATTTGCTTCCAAGAGCATGGAGCATGGCACGAAAATTTGTTTTGGAACACCTGTTCTGTCACTTTCCTATTACAACCTTTTCAAACTTCCTTTAAGTACAGAGGTGCTCAACGGCACAAATCAGAGATATCAATGTACCCTTCCGATACTGATTAGGAAGGCACAATTACGTTACCCACAAGTTAGTTCGAAAACTGGATCATTGTTGATTACATAGATCGGTCAGGAATTATAGAAATTCAATTGTGGGAACAGTGAATAGTATTGGTTTGACAACATTACTACCAACGTATTTGTTTCTTGCTTGCCTATTGATTTTTTTTACATACGCGTTTAGAGTATCCCATTTGAGCAACACGGATGGTGGGCATGGTGGAAACTACTAACTGCCTCATACTAGATTACTAGTAAGTGGATAATAAACGGATAATGGAAAGTAGTTTCAGCGGCAAGAATGTGGACGCTAGCTAATGTGGGTACAAAGTCTGCTGTGCACAAGGTAGGTGGCAATTACGGAGGTAACAAATTTATCTGTCAGCGAACTATTTCTCTTTCTATGCTCTATCTTTTATGACTGAAAACATATCTTCCTGTTACACAAGGCACTTAAGTAGAGTACACAAAACAAATTTTTAAATTGTGTTCTAATGAGATATCAGGCGAAACAGGCAATATTACCTTGTTTGGACTGAGCAACAAATAGTCCGACTCAGTGAATAACGATATTCATTTTTCTACATTTTTTGGTGCTGTGCTTACTCCTTTGCATATACACGCAACTTCTCTAGAAAACCTTCTCTACTGCACAACAGTAGTCTCTTGGTGGTTCTGACTGAATTAACCACGAAGAGATAAATTTCTCCAAGCAACCTGAAAAATACTTGAAGATAGCTTCTAAAAAAGAAAACGCTTTGTTCAAGTAATCAGCATAGCAATGTGGTTTGCATAGACTACCCTTTTTGCACAACAAATTACATGTAGTGATTCCTTGTTCAAGGTACGAGATGTTGTCGGGTTAGCTGGTATATAGTAACAGCCCGCTTGTTTATGCGGAGTGTAGACAACACGTTACAACGCAGAAATAAACACGTACACGAAGCAAGTGCTTTCTGCTCTTCATGTGTGTGTTTCAAGTGTTTTTCATAATACTGAAATCTGTATTTCAATGTACAGTTTATATACACTACAAACCACTGCAGATTGTCAAATATTACCGGGGTTATTATCATTTTTTGCAAGTTGCCGTAAACAGAGCAGTGTCAGCGTTTCGTGCCGGGACAATAACTTGCCTTCGTTAGAGGCCGCCAGAGTTGGCTTGATGATAGCTCTTGAACAAAATATCGTTAACATCAAGAGAAGGTTAGAATTGAGTAGGTGACCCAACCTTCCCCTCGCAAATAAACACATGATCCATTAGCCCTAACTGAGCAAAAAAAAACACATAACCATACCACAGCCTAAACTTTCATACATAGCAGCGGCAAATGAAATCTTCAGTGAACGATGCCTTAAGCCGACCAAAGGGGATACACAACCGGCAAGCTTGCCCTGGTGCTGCACTGCCGCTGCTGACGCTCCTTGCCCACCGCCATTCTCCGAATTCCACCTTAAACATTTTGTCATCATTCATGAGCAGATTCTGAATATATCGCTGTCATTTACGACATAAGTACTTATTTGGGGACAAAAAGGATAGCATAAAGAGTGTTCAATATTGCTTAATCATTACGTTCAATGCTATAATGCTATCTAGTGAGGCTAGTCCAGCTTTGCTATTCGAGGAATAAGATGTTGTACTGGGGATGTTATAGGGCTTAGCGAAGTAAAGAAAAATGAGGCTAATACAGTGCTGAAAAACGGACATGTCCATGCTGTCGTGAATTAGTTCACAGAAGAGAACTAGGGGTGCGGTTCCTTATCCACAGAACTATCACTGACAACATAGAGGAATACTATCGCCTCAGTGGGAGGGTAGCAAGTATCGTAATTACATGTGGCATTTACATGGCAAGTATTGTAACAAAATGCGCAGGACGCTTCGAGCCATGATGATAATTTGGTTCAACGCTTCTACGAAGATATAAACTAAGCAATTAATAAAGTAAAGACAGCGCATACTGTACAAATATGGGTGACTTTTTTTCCAAAGTAGGCAAGAAACGGGCCGGTGACTATACAGTGGGGTAGAATGGCATAGGCTTTAGGAATGCAAGAGAGGAGTTATTAGTTCAGTTTGCAGAACGCAATAAAATACGCATATATAATACCTTCTACAGAGAATGAGAAAACCATAAGTAGACGTGCTTGAGCCCAAATGGTGAAACTAAAATTGAAATATACTTTATTCCATGTGCACATCCGGCCATAAAGGATGCAGATGTAGTTGGTGAAATTCGATGCAGGGATCTTAAATTTGTGAGAGCTCAAATTCAACTAGACCTAAAGAAAGCACAGGCATAAACCTATACGCAAAAGCCAGCTAATTGAATGGCGTTGAGAGGGAAAGTACAAGAATTCAGAGTTTTGCTTCATGATGAATTCTCGGCTCTAAACGAAGTAACTGACGTTACTGTTCACACAACGAATGGTTATCTATTTATTATAATCCCCGATTGTTCAAGAGCAGCTGTAGGTGCAGTCACTAGACAGGACACAGCCAAGCTGTTCCAGGAAACGAAAAATGTCATTAAGAGACGACAAACCATGAAAACCTGAAATTCAACAGACAAAATAGAGCTGTCAGAGCTTTCGTAGTTAATCAATAGGTGTAAGGTAGCCGACATAGGAAGGTATAACATGGAGAGAATGTACATGCGTTAAAAGGCGAAAAAGCGTGAAAGCTGCGAGGGCACGCTCGTGCACATGCAAAAATCAAATGTATGCACTAAAGGGCTATGAGAGCAAAATTACAATCAATTTTGATGGTATAGTCAAGGTGGCAAAGGAGTTCATAGAGAGCTGAACAGACTCCAAAGCAACCAGGATGATACCGTAAGAAGCAATAATAGCCCAGATGAATTTGCCATCCTACCAGTAAAGACAGGGTAAGTTATAAAAACTCTAAAAGCAATGCGAAATGGTAAAGCTGATGATGTGGATAACGTGACAACGGACCTGCTAAAGGATGGCGGAGACATTGTGTGAGAAAAACTCTCCAGCTTATACACGAATTGCCTCTTGACAAGAAGAGTACCAGAATCTTCAAAAAACGCCAACAGAATCTTAATCAATGAGAAAGGAGACTTCAAGGATTTGAGAAGTTAGAGGCTGATCAGCCTATTGTCAATTCTGAACAAGTTATTTACAAAACGAATGGCTAATAGAATTAGGATAACATTAGAATTCAATCAATGAAAAGAACAAGCAGGATTTCGTACAGGCTGCTCTACAATGTACAATATTTATACTATCAATCAGGTGATAGAAAAATACGCACAGTACAAGCAACCCCTATACACAACCTTCAAATATTATGAGAAGGCAAATGTTATGAGAAGGCCTAAAAAAATGTCAATTCTAACGCTACCGGAAGTGATTTAAATGGCAATATGACGGTTTGGCGCACCTTTTCCAACATGGTTCAGCGTGGTATATTATCATTTTTTGCGCCCACCATTTCCTCTCTGCTTTCCCGTATTCGCCAATGGCGGGTACAGTCTCCGAACACTGGCCACTATTTTTCTGCTATTCTTCACCACTCTCCAGCATCTATACCACTTTGCCCATCTAACGTATACCATGTCACTCACCACTGACCACTATAAGCACCATCATTTCCAGCATACCCAGCAATATTTTCACTCTATCCACCATCTTCTCGCGTACCCACCACGGCAATTTTTCCGATAAGGTAACCTTTTCGTAGATATGTGTATGCCACATTAACAAAATAATTTAATATTTGTCCTGAAAAAATACATATTTAGTGCTGTCTTAACCAAAAAAATTTTTATGCAATACCGAATTGTGTAGTAGTACACTCCTATGATCATATTATTTTTATCAACGCTCAACTTCGTTGCCGCAGTAGCGTAATATGCGCTTTTATACAGTACGAGGATTGTGAAAGATACAATTACAGGTGGCAAGGTATGTACACAATTATTGACCTGATGACATTGTCTGAGTAGCTACATATACATAGTTATTACTGTCCCACTTAGCTTTAGCAGAGACTGCAAAAATGGAGGGTGCATCGGAACCGAGTCGAACCAAACGCATGGTCTTCCTACTACCTTAATATGGCTATATTCATTTTCACCCTAAAGAACTTACTATTCATGTTAATTACCCAGCTTTTCAGATACTGCCGTAAAATTCAAAGTAGGAAAACAGAGTTGCAGAGCACCTATAGCAGCCACTTATTGAATGCTTTCTTGTACGATGCCCCTCACGTAGTCATTTTTTCTACGTGAGGGGCATCCCGCGAGATATAAAATATAAGCCATGAGGCACTGTCATATTTAGCA